ATCATTAATTCAGCATGACTTCATCATTAATTCATCATGACTTCATCTTTAGTTCATCATTAATTCACCATTAATTCATCATGACTTCATCATTAATTCATCATGACTTCATCATTAGTTCATCATTAATTCACCATTAATTCATCATGACTTCATCATTTTTAATCATTAATTCATCATGACTTCATTATTAATTCATCATGACTTCATTATTAATTCATCATGACTTCATCATGAGTTCATCATTTTTTATCATTAATTCATCATGACTTCATCATAACTTCATCATAATTCATCATGACTTCATCGGTAGTTCATCATTAATTTATGACTACATCATGAGTTCATCATGAGTTCATCGTTAATTCATCATGAGTTCATCATGACTTCATATGAGTTCATCATGAGTTCATCATGTGTTCATCATGAGTTCATCATGATTTCATCATGAGTTCATCATGACTTCATCATGAGTTCGTCATTTGTTCATCATTAGTTCATCATAAGTTCATCATAAGTTCATCATGAGTTCGTAATGTGTTCATCATAAGTTCATTGGGGAGTGGTGGCGCAGAGGTTAGAGAGGTGGGCTTGTGATCCGAAGATCGCCGGTTCGCGCCCCGGCCCCGACAACATCAAAATTGTGGGTGGGGTAGGTGAAACACCCACACTTGCCCCCACCCTCATTCGCCCCACTCTGGGCCCATGAGCAAGGCCCTTAACCCCCCACCATGTGCTCCCTAAACAGGTCTCTCTTGAAAATGAGTTCTCGTGGCTCAATGAGACTAACCTGGATAAATAAAGGCTAAATGGAAAAAAAAAAAAAAAAAATCATGAGTTCGTCATGAGTTCATCATGACTTCATCATTAGTTCATCATTAATTCATCATGACTTCATCATTAGTTCATCATTAATTCATCATGACTTCATCATGAGTTCATCATGACTTCATCATGAGTTCGTCATGTGTTCATCATTAGTTCATAGTGAGTTTGTCATGAGTTCATCATGAGTTCATCATGACTTCATCATTAGTTCATCATTAATTCATCATGACTTCATCATGAGTTCATCGTGTTTTCATCATGTGTTCATCATTAGTTCATCATGAGTTCGTCGTGAGTTCATCATGACTTCATCATGACTTCATCAAGAGTTTGTCGTTTGTTCATCATGAGTTCATCATGTGTTCACCATGAGTTCGTCATGTGA